TCTATAGCAGAAGATACTGATGATATCCATCATCAATTATGGATATGATTTCATCTCTAAATGCAGTTTCAAAAACAAAATTGAAGTAACTTTTTGGAAATTCTTCAGATTATGCATTGCATGTGCAGTTAGGGAAAAAAAAGAATATAATGCATTTTTTTATGGCTTGTTATAAAAATAAGTTTGATGCATTAAAAATTGAATTAATACTAAATATATTTACATATTTTTTTAGTTATATGAATTTTTATAAAATTTAGATCATTTATTATTATATCATCCAATTTGGAGTCTATATATCTCCTATTTGCATTTACATTATACTTTTAATGATCATAATAAGCAGCAAAATTTTTTTGTGTGAATATTTTGGTGTAGAACATGAATATGACTAATGAAGAATGTAATAGGATATAATGTGAAACTATTTGTGTGTTTTCTGATGAGTAAGCTTTAATAAATTTCAAGAAGAAGGGAAGGAAATTTAATATTTAGCAAGTTTTATAATCTTTTTCCTATAATTGGCAAAACACAAATTTGGCGGGTTTGTTATTGGTTTGGCAATGTATTTAGGGGCATTTACATGCATACCACATAATTCTTTTATTTACATATGTAACACCCAAACTTTAATATTTACATGCATAACACTAAAATCTTGAATATCACATAAAAAAAATATCACTATCATCCACTTTTTAGAAGTGAAATATTTCTTTTCATGCATGAGTTTATCATACCAAAGTATCATAAATATAAGTATGGAAGTTTAAGTATTAGATACGTAAATGCATAAGAATTGTGTGGTATTCATGTAAATTCTCAATATTATAATTATATACGCCTACATTGTGTCCTACAAAGAACCATCTTACATAAACTTGACCATGGATCGACTTTGTGTCAAGGTCGCTGTTTGGGTTGATATTTGTGAGCTGTTCATTTTGAATGTTATGAAATTTCACCGTCTATTTCAGCTGTCATGCTTTTTTTGCATCTTAAAATGGGGCTCCGTGTATATTTGACAGATTAGAATTGTTAAATTTCATAATTGTTATCATAGTAAAATCTACAATCGTGGCAACAAAATGTTGTTTTCATCTGTTTGAAGTTTTCTTAATGTGCTATGTGCGCACTTTCATTTTTTTTTTTGGAAGAATGCGAGCTTAAATTGTGAAGATAGAGTATGATGTTCGGGTTATGTTCAGGGTGGATAATTTCCCCTCCAGAATTTATTTTTTTTCTACATAAATAGTAAAATTTAATATATATTTTTTTATGTAGTTTAGGAATATTTGATTGAAGTGAAATTTTGTGTTTGAGAGTTTAATTGAAGTGGAATCTTGAGGCTGAAAATCTGATTGCTGAAGTGGAATTTTGAGAAGTTTGATTGAAATAGAATCCTGAGCCTGAAAGTTTGGTTGAAGTAGAATTTTAAAGTCGAGAGTATGATTGAAGTAGAACCCCAGACTAAGGGAGAAGATATGCTAGAAGGATTTATAAATGGAAGTGCAAATATAACCATGAAATAAACATAGACTCTATAAAGAAGTTAAATGGATAGACTAAACTAAAAATAATTAGACATTTGGTGATTTTCACTTCCTAAAAAATAATGTTGGCTCTGCTGCCTGTAGCTCAAACCTACAATCATTGTTGGAACATTGATTCTTTTGTTGCGATTATATTCTTTCTATTGTCTTTATTTTTGATAATTTGAATTGGATTTTGCGTAATTGTTCGCATAATTTTGCATTTTTTTAATTTCTCCCCGCAGATAAAATCTTATTATGGAATATCAAGAAATCTGCTGATACAGTTTAAGGATGATACGATTGATGAAACTCCAATTCTGTCCAACTTATTAAGCAGCGAATCTGCCATAAGTTCTCAGCTGGACCTCTCAATTCGATCATTGCCTGGAGACCATGTTCTTCCGCTGCAGCAGGTAATTTTCATTTTCTATGATTAATTTTTAAATGGAGCCAATTATTAATGTTCTTACATATCTAGACAAAACTATTAAAATAGTCCCGTGATTATTTTCAAGGAGACTTTTAAGTTCCAAAATGTGCTGAATTAGTCCCCAAACTTTTTTGACTATGTGAAAAAAGTCTGACGACTAATTTGGCACTTTTATATATTTTGGGACTTGAGAACTGTTTTAGGAAAAACTTGAAATTTGGTGGTCTACATTAGAATCTGAAGGCCTTCGTTTAAGTAGATCTAAAACTAAATACATAAATATAATTTTAATAGTAGTAGCTCTAGTGATAAAGTTGTAATTATGGGTGATCAAATTATTAAAAGGTATGAACATTTTAGATATCTCGGTTCTATTCTTTACAGTGATGGTGATGTAGATGAGAATGTTATTAGTAGAATTTAGGTTGGTTGGTTGAAGTGGAGGAATGCATCAGACCTTTTGTGTGATAGACTTTTGTGTGATAGAAAATGTGTGATAGAAAAATTACTGCTCCGACTTTTAATTTAAAAAAAGTGTACCCCTTTTCGTGCATAGATAAGGTGGTATGCATGTAAAAAATTGGAGTTTAGGTGTTAGGTATTTAAATACATAGGAATTGACTGGTATGTATGTAAATCTTCCAATTGTTTGCCGTTATTAGATTTATTTTAAAATGAGCATAATGTATGATAATTTAATCAAAATTTTTATTTTTCTCGTCCTAAAAAAAATTTAATGAGTAAAATAAAAATTTAAATGATACTTGAGATTTCTTGACGCAATTTATTTTAGTATTTATGAAGAGTCTTTTTGTCTGTTTTTTTTACATTCAATTTGTAAAAAAATTTGAAAATTGTTCACAATGATTGAACTAAAATTTCTCTTCAAATTTCAATAAAAAAAAGGGATAATTACATACAAACCACCCCCGAAACATTGATTTTTTCTTTTTTTTTTTTTAACTATCGAATCGGTGTATTTATGTTTGCCACGATTAAACTATTGAGAATTTAATAAAAATGAAAAATATGGGTTGGGCTTTATCATGAATTTTGATATGTGAGTGAGAATTTGAACAATGGATGAAAGAGGGTGGTTGATTTGTAAATAGCAAGTTTCAGGTGGTCTGTATGTAATTTGACCCAATAAAAAAATATATCCATTAATATTTTCAGATAAATTTAATTTCTTATTAGCTATAGCAAAATCAAATACCGAATATATAATTATAAAATAATTTTTTTTTCTGTTTTATTTTTGAGATTTACATTCTTAATGCCACTTGATTCTTATAAATTTACACACCTAACGCCTGAAACTTAATATTTATGTTTATAACACTTGATATTCATGATAAAGTTATATATGCAGTAAAAAAGACTTTTTTATGCAAAATTAAAGATTTCAGGGGCGTGCATGTAAATATGAAAGTTTAGGTATTAGATATATAATTTCATAAAAATTATGTGGTTTTTCTGTAAAAGCCTCTTTCTTTTTTTTTTTTTTTTTTTTTTTTTTTTTTTTGTGTTGAGGCTTTTGCTATATTTTTAGGCGTTTCCTGATGTTCCACCTGCAATGGCTGATGTTGTGAACCGTGGAGGAGAGCTGCTGGCAAATCTAACGGCTGGGACGCCATGGGAATCAGTGGCAAAAGATGTTGGTATCAACATGGGTGGTCCAGATTCAACGATCATTCGAGCACGAAATTCAAAGCAAGTTGATGTTCTAGTAGATGTTATTTCATCATGGATCACCTCCCATTCAAATCCAAAAGTACTTTAGAAGAAATAAGAAGAAATTTTAGCCTGGATATTCCTGGTCCTACTAATTTGAAAGATTTACATTCATTCCCCTCAATTCCTATGTATTTACATATCTACCCTTCTGAACTTTAAGATGTATGTATATGCTATTTTGCTTATGTATGAAAACATGTATTTTTATTTTGCACAAGTTAAAATGACGGTAATTTCCATGTGATATAAAAGACTTGGATGGTATGTATGTAAATGGCCCTTATAGATTTTATAGTTATTAAATTTATTTTAAGATGAGTATAAGATAAATTTTAATTATTTATATATATATTATACTAATTTTAAAATAAATTGAATAATGTTATAAAAAAATTTATTTTTATTAAAATCTAGATTTTCTAAAATATGAAAGAGCAACAAAGGCAACTAGCATATTCAAGGCTTTCAAAAATATTAATCATTTACATAAAAGTTAAGAGTGGATATATATTTATACATCTTTTACTGTAAAGTTCAGATATTATTTAAAGAATTGTGTTAGGAGCATGTCATCACGAATCTCGAGAAGAACTGATGAACTAGAAGACTGAAAAATACATCTGAAAATGGTCTACTTGTGAAAGACCAAATCAGGGCTAGAGGCTGATTAAATGTAGGCCACCTGAACTGATGGCTAAGGTCAATCAAGTTGATCATAAGCATTGATCTACCTATTTTAGCAACCCAATTTAAGGGAAAAATTCAATATTGCCAACACTCGCAAACACCTTTGAGATTTATGATCAAGGTCCAAGGGTTGGCAATATCATCATCCACGAATATCTTGAAGGATCTATCAGATAATGATGATTCACCCTCTATTTAATAGAATGTTCTAGTTTTATCGATAGGAGCTTTTCATCCAAACATCAAAAATAGATAGCCAATTTATAATAGCCGACCGTCAAAATTAATTGAACCGAGTCTTGCCGACCTAAAGACCATCAAAGTTATTTACATATTTAAATATTTATACTTCAATTTTTACATATATGTCACTTTACTTGTATATGAAAAAAATTATATTTTATTTTTTGAAAGTTAAAATAATGATATTTTTTATGTGAGATCAACTATTTGGTTGGCATAAGCATAAAAAAAGCAAAGTTTAGGTTTTAGACATATAACCACATAAGAAATGGTTGGTACAAATGTAAATCCCCCCTTAATTTTTTGTAAAGCTAAATTAACTCCTTGTAATAAAGCTTCCCCTCAAATATTTTTCAAATCTGCCAAAATTAACTTAAAAAATACAGCTCAAGAAAAGTAATTTAATTTATTACAGTACAATAATATTCCCATACTTCAAAACAAAACATAAGTTAGCAATACCATACAACTATCTCTCATCTTTTGGAACAAAATATCATCAGAAATAGGATCTGATGGCTCTCAAACAGATTATCATTATTCTAATATAGCTCAAGCAGCTTCATCTTCATGATAGAGATACAAACCAAAACCAAATCGAGCACAAGCTCTGCAAAATGCAATTTCTTCTGCAGCAGCTACCGGGTCTTCATATCGATTATCGGTCGAAGATGCCGTTCCGGCCGATTCACGGTGAGCCTGCATTAAAATTTTAAAAAATGAAATATATTATATTTTATATATTTACATATTTAAAACCTAAAAATTCATATTTACATGCAGATCACTAAAATCTTTAACATCACATTAAAAATAATACTGCTAACAATCTTTTTAAAAGTGAAATATATATTTTCATGCATAGGACTATTAGTGTAAATATCAAACTTTGGGTGTCAGAGAAGTACATGCATAAGATTTGTATGGTATGTATGTAAATTTCCCATATATATGTATATATATTATGTGTGTGTAATGTAAAAGAGTATTCATATAATAAAACTTCAAACATTTCATCTGGTCAAAATATTATAATGAAATTATATGGTAACAATTTTTTCTATGCCTGTCAAAATTTTATAATGAATTGCGCGGTTTCTCACACAATTCTTATATATTGACATATCTAACACCTAAACCTTGATATATACATGCACACTGCTCAAATCTTTAACATCACATTAAAAATATCACTATTATTAGCTTTTCAAAAGCGAAATACACATTTCATGCATAGATTTGTAATAATAAATTGTTAAAAATGTAAATACCAAACTCTAATTAAGGGCCCGTTTGGGGCAGCTTATTTTGGTGCGGCGGCGTTTTCAAGCGGCGTTTTGAAAACGCCACCGGCTGTTTGGTTAGAACGTTCGGCATTGCGTTAAAACATTATGAGGGTGTTTTCTAAACTCCGTTCCCACCTTTCACTACGGATTGCATGCGAGGTCCCTGTGCGTTCGGCGTTCGCGAGGCTCGAATTCCTCTCGTGCCCCTGCGAGATCTCTCTCGCGCTCTCCCTCGCCATCTCCTTTCCCGATCTTTGCCCTTCTCCTCTCCGATCTCTCTCGTGCCCTTCTGCTCGGCCTCGCCCTTCTTCCCATTTTTCTTCTCGTCCTTCACCTTTTGCTGAGATCGACACGAAGCAGTCAGACATTACGGGACGAAGCTTTTCCTTTGCGGCATTTTTTCCATTGAGTTGACAGAGGAGGAAGACGAATTGATAAAACCTCTCCTTCTCCCTTCACATTTCCAATTTTTAGTTTCCTCTATTTTGCTGTAGATGAAGAAGAAATTGGAGCGCTAAGCTTCAAACTTGGATGAAAATCGGATTTTTTTTTTTTACTTTGGTTTTTTTTTCCTTTGCGGCATTTCTGTTCGAAGGTAGCAGATCGTTGCTTGATCAAAATGCTTTCGATTCTTCATAAAACCGAAAGCATGGATTCCTACACAGCTCTTTCCTACTGATCGATCTCCACACAGAGTTCTCTTCTTCCATTCGGTTCGCAGAAGAGCTCCTTTCTTCCATTTGAATCGCACAGAGGAATTCTTTCCTTCCGATCGATTCGCTCGCGAGAATCTTCAACCAAGCAAGTAGAAACTCTTCTTCCTTTCTTGGTGGTTTCCACTCTTTATTATTTTTCACTGAAATTAGCTAATTAATTGATTCTTTTTTAACGGTGTAAGACAGTTGCCAATCAAGAGCTACTTCTTGAATGTATTTTAATTTTTGTAACTCAATTGTATTAGTTTGAGACTTTTGTTTTATCTACTATTTTCTCCATTTAGTTCTGTTGCAAACAGCAGGGGCAGAATGGTCATTTATCCAACAACAGCTCCCAGTAAACTGTCTTGAATAAGTTGTCTCAAACAACAAGACAACTTATTCTGATAATCTACAGATTATCAGATTATCAGAATAATCTGCTTATCAGCAGATTATAAATAATCAACAACTGTCCCAAACAGACCCTAAGTGTTAGACATGTAAATACATAATAATTGTGGTACGTAAGTAAATTTCCCTATCATTAGATTCATGATACAAGTCCAAAATGGAGTCTTTTAGGTGCAATGTATTGTTTTTCATTCTTCAAAGATCAGTGACTAACATTCAACCCTTGCAAAGAGAAGATCAACTACTTAAATTCAAGTATGATTCAACATAAACTAAATTTAATCCCTAAATATTAAAATAATAATTTCTAATAAATTAAAGGGAAATCAACACCTATAGTTTGATACTTGCATCTTAACACCATGGTATTAAAAGCCTGTGCATAGAAAGATACATTTAACTTTCAAAAAGTTAGTTATAGTGTTGAATATTGATGTGAAGTCGGAATTGAGTGTTATGTAAATATGATAGTATCGGTCATTGATATGTAAATAAATAGGAATTGTGTGGTATGTATGTAAATGCCCCTAAATTAAAATAATACCGAAAATAAACATAAATCTAATTTCTTATGTTGATTCAATTCCATTAGGGATTAGAAGATTCTTTAGCCTAAAGAGTTGTGGAAAGATATAATCTTACATCCTATGAAGATTTACATATATACCACCCAATTCTCCTGTATTCAAATAGCTAACACCAAAACTCTACTTTTTACATTTATACCAACTAAATCTTTTACATCACATAAAAAATAACACTATTTTAAATTTAAAAAAGTGAGATGCACCTTAACATGCATAAGTACGGTGGCATGTATATAATACCACCCAATCTCATGTATTTACATATCTAACACCTAAACTTTACTTTTTACATCAATACCACCCAAATATTTCATATCACATAAAAATAACACTATTTTAACTTTTAAAAGTGAAATACACCTTTTCATGCATGAGTAAGGCGGCAGGCATGCAATCATTAAAGTTTAGGCGTGAGATATGTAAATACATTGGAATTGAGTGGTATGTATGTAAAACTTCCAATATAAATTCTGCAAAATATTTGTAGTTTTAAAATGATAAGAAAGATTCAACTTTACCTCTCCATCCGAGCCACGAATAGTAACCCGATAAACTACCGTCACTCTACCATTGTCTGAGAAGATAACATCACGCACTTCTCCACACCAGCCTTGCAAAAAAGTAATAAAGAAAATTTAATTTACATTCATCTGTATGATTAAAAATCTCACAACCAACCCAAAATAGTGGCTTGAACAAAATTCAATGATGGACAAGATTGCCAAATTAATAAGAAAGCTGTTTTTCTATTAAAAAAAGGTCTATTTAAATGAAAACCACTCAATTCTTATGTTTTTACGTATCTAACTTCTAAACTTCAACTTTTTATATTTATACCATCCAAAACTTTCATATCATATAAAAATATCACTACTTGAACTTTTAAAAAATGAAATACACCTTTTCATGCAAAAGGAAAGTGACATATATATATGTAAAAATTGAAATTTAAGTATTAGATATGTAAATAAATAAGCATTGTGTGGTATGTAAGTAAATCTTCCATTATGTTTTAATTAAAAATGTTAGTTGAGCAATCATCGGCCAGCCGTTAAAGAGCAAATAAAATAAATAATTACAAATTAAATAAAATTTATAAGCAATTTTGAGTGTTGATCTACTACTGAATCCAAGATACTGAAAAAAAAAAAATCAAATATTCAAATATGCATGTTCTTAGTTTTTAGTTTTGCAAGGGGTCATTTTAATATAAGAGTGTAAATTTAGTCCCCAAACTTTTTAATATAAGTTGAAATAGCTTTTAAGAAAGTTTATTTTAGCCATTATTAAATGAGTCTGGAAATTAATTTGATATTTTCATAAACTCGGAGATTGAAATGACCTGTGTAAATAGTCTAGGGATTATTTTAGCATTTTATTCTATTAGCTCCATATATATATATTTAGGATGACAATTTTACCTGGGGCATAGAAGCTCAACATTCTGTTCGCATGATACCTATAGACAAAAAATTGGTATAAGTAATGTCAAATTGTAACTGAAACTATACTTTCACCACGAGAAACTAATATTAGGTCGTATATGACCAGCCATTCCAAATGAACAATGAAATAATCACTTGCCTTAGGATAAAAGTGTAAATGACTCAAGTCGAGCTTAAGCTATCCTCGACTTGAGTTTGATAGCTTGAGCTTGGCCGGCTTATTTATTATGAAAGAGAGAAAATAATATTAATTAAAGCTAGTGTTATAATAAAACAACACATAAAATGAGTAATTAGGAGATAAATAATGAGAAATAACTGATATAAAGTGTAAAATATATTTTTGTTAATATTTTAAATAATTTAAAGATAAAATATTAAATTTTAATATTTTTTTAGTATATTTTATATTAAACTTTTTTTAAAGGGGCCGGCTAATGAGCCAAGTTGGGGCTGGTTCGAGCTTTGCTTGTTAGCTCGTCAAGCTTAGTTCAGGAGCCAAGCCGTGACCGAGCTGGTTCACGAGTCGGCTTAGTGCCGTTACATCCCTGACTTAGAAGGCTAGAAATATTAGACAAATAGCATTGTATCTTGTGAGAATTGTTATAACATTGGAAAAAAATCATCAACAGCCGAGAAACTCCACAATAATCCCTATATAGCAAAAATATGTAGATATATATCATTTTCACTCTTAAACTTTCTAGCATCTATTGTGAATTTGATGCTCACAATTATAACAACAATAACATAGCAGACACATCAAATATGCCAAATCTTCTACATATCACAGCATTTTAGAGTTAATTTAAGCTGAATTCTGCCAAAAAACATAAAATTTCAAACAAAGATGAGAGTAAAGAAATGCAAATTTGAAAAGGAATAACTCTCATTTCCCCAATTGAAGTAAGGCAGGTAAAAGCATAAGAAAGGAAGCCTGCAAGAAGAAACAAAATAGATATCCATGTTAACTCTTTTTGTAATTTATTAAGTTTATAAGGTTATTGAAACAAAAGATTTCTAGTGAAAGCAACTTGTAGAGAGAAATTGAAGCCATGAATTAGATAAAATTTGATCATCTTACACAAAAAGCAAACAATTCATGTTTTTTTGGTTTAATATTTGGGTAAAACCTTTTTTGAAAAGTAAAATCACATTTAAATCAGGCCAAATATCCAAGAACATAAGATTAGCTCCATAATGCCATCTATAAGAACAGTAATCTTAGAAGGAGCATATCATGAAAACTGGCCTTCCTTCATGTCCTAATCTTATGATCCCTTGATGATTCTCCAACATTCACATGTCCTAATGTTCTAAAGAAGCTTCAATGCTTAAATTCATTTCATCCCAATTCAACTAATGGCTGCTGCAGCATCAAATGGAGAAACCAGGCTACAAAATCTCAACAAAATTTATATCTTGGTCTGCCATTACTCTTACCTACTACACAAATGTTACCCTGCACAAATGTTCCGCAATAACTACAGACTTTTCTCCAAAAATTTCTACAACCTTCTTTCACCATCAGGATTTTCACGTCGCCCCCTCAAATATTCAACTCTGCTTGCGCCACATTTAGACAAAAAGTACCTCTGCAGAAGCATGCAGGCGTTACAACCAAGATAGAACAGTTCAAAAACCAGTGACCACATCCGCTTCCTCATCTGACCCGCAAAGTAAAAGTAAAATTTCAATCCCGCTGCCCACTAGCATTTTGCAATTTCTTCAGATTCCTCAATCCTCCCAGTTCAAAGCAGGATAACACTACAAAAAACTTCAATAATCCTCTATCCATTGAAATAAATTCATCTACAAATCACTGATTCGCCCGATCCGCAAGCGATCAAGCCCAACACAAAAAACACAGAAGCCGATCGACGAAATAAGCAGAAAACCGCGAATTCAAAAAAGCGTACCAGGGAATGGAGTTGTCCTCTGGATTGATGATCTTGTCTGGAACCCTCTTATTCAGGTCACGCAAGATCTCGTTAAGAGGCCGAGTTAAACCCGCCGCCGACATGTCGAGCGGCACAACGTAGTTGGAGTTAGGCACGCTAACCTTCTTCCCATTACTTCCGCCTCCAGTTCCCGAACTCTTTTCGATCGAAGCCGTCACCATCCCTTTCCTCCGGCAGCCTCCGAATCCGATCCTCCGCCGCCGAAGAGAAACTCGCGATGCCGCCGGGAGAGCAAAGTTGCCCCTAAAACATACAGCGCTCGCCGTCTCCATGATAAGAAGAAGGAGATATGAGAGAGGTGTTAGCTGAGCTGAAGCTCTGATTTAGCTGATACTTCGTCTCCCTCGCTCTCTCTCCCTCCCTCGCATTTGTGGAATTTTCTTCGCTCAGTAAAGCATTCTCCAACCACCAACCTAAACAAACCTAACCTTACTGTGTAAGAGAAAATATTAGGAGAAAATATTTTATGTCAGAACTGCAATAACAGTCAATGGTAAAGTGATGGGCATTATTTTCACATCTTTAAAAAATATTTAAAATACACCATTCCTCACGACTTGGCCTAAAAGACTGTCTGAATATCTTTTAAAAAAAAAACTTAAGTTGTTCAAACCTAGCTCTAATCATAACTGCCACATAACCTGACACTGTTTATTTTCTTTTTCTGGGGTAGGGTATTTTCCTTCCACTCGGGTTTAGGTAATATTCTTCTGTTACTTTCGAAGAGCACTACATCATAATAGCTTTGAAGATGAATTAAAAAGATTTTAGTGATAACAACGGAATAGATGAGAGTTTCACTGTTTTTAAAATGGTAACAATCTTTTGGATTTGCTCGATCTATTTCAGTTAATAATTTGTTTGTAGTTCACTTAATGCGACTTAATGCAACTTCTGATATAATTTTTTACTGTTCTACCTAAACCTAATTGTTTTAAGCTTTAATTTGTTTCTTTAACGAGATGAGCGATATTTGGTTCATTTATGAGAAAAAAAATATAGATAAAAGATAAATTATGACCATGATACAACAAAAAAGCTATCAGAATAATAGATAAATTATGACGGCGATACCATAGAAATACCATCAGAATATCACATTAATATCATCATAATATACCACAATAATATCACAATAACCACAATAATATAATCAAAATATCACTAGAATACCAAAATGACACTACATAGATTCCACAAAAATAGCATCAGAATAGAACCAGAATACCATTAGAATATCAGTATAATACAACAATAATATCAATATAATGCCACAAGGATATCACTAGAACATCACATAAATAACACAAGAATACAACTAGAGCTACACCAGAATACCACCATAATACCACAATAATTATCAATATAATACTACAATAATATCACTATAATATCGCATAAATACCATCAGAATTACACACGAATACCACTAGAATACCACAACAAGAATACCATTATAATACTATGAGAATATTTAGGTGGCGTTTTGGTGGTATTATAGTGATATTATTGTTGTATTATTGAGATATTATGTTGATATTCTGATATTATTCTTGTAGTATTCTAATTGTATTTTTGTGAAATTTAGGCAGTATTCTGATGGTATTCTTGTGGCATTATGTTTGTATTATTGTGGTATTCTGGTTGTATTATTGTGATATTATGGTGTTATTCAAATTGTTTTCTAATGGTATTATTGTGGTACTCGTGTGATATTTTGGTGATATTCTGATGTTATTCTAGTGTTGTTCTCGTTATATTTTGATTGGTATTATTGAGGTATTTTGGTGTTATAATTGTGGTATTTTGGTTGTTTATTTGTTGTATTTTTTTTGTTTATGGTGTTTTTTTAGTGATATTCGATTTGTTTATTGGTGGTTGTTTGTGCTTATAGTGGTGTTTATTGTTTTATGTTTACGGGTGGTATTGTATGCTTGTTGTTGCTCTTATATTAATTTATGCCTTTTTGATAAAACTTTCTTGAACAATATGTACATATGTTGACCCTCACATATGCTTCATGATTTGAGTCAGTTACATGTGAGGCACATGGTGAATGATAAATGGGAAATTGCAAGATTAAATAAGAAATGTCTTGACGTCAGTTAAAATTGATCCAAACAATGCCCGACGGATCAAAATTATTTATGAAGGGGTCTTCAATGATCGAAACAGATGAGCATGATGAAAACGACCAATCGCCAACGTGACAAATGTTACGTAGGCTAATTTCATCTCGAACATCATTGAAATTTCTTAGAACGACATCCGATCGTAAAACAGATTGTGACATTGCGTCCGGAACGCCTGATTTACCTAGTAGGGACTCCTATATTGATTGGTCTTCGTGCACGAATAATCAACATGTAAATTGAAACATGTAAATTAAAAATAAAATAAACTAAAAAAAATTTTAAACCCTTCAGCACCTTCTCTTGCAAGTCACCACCTAACTCACATTCATGCCCATGCTTCCTACCTTTTTCTCCTCCAATGAGAGCTTTCCACGTCATCTAAAATAGTAAGAAAATAAAACAAAATAAAATTTATAACCTAATATTTAATATCCCATGAAAAATTATTCAATCTGGATAACGCATGTAAAGCTACGTGCAGAAGTCAATTCAAATATATCATGTGTTTTTTTTTTTATCATTATTTTGTTCTAAAGAATTCATAATAAACGATATAAATAACGGCGTGGCCTGACTCGGCCCGTCGTAGGGTATTGGCGCATCATTATAACTTAGAAATAGAAAGCGTCAAAATTTTGAAAGCAAAATAAGAATATTGGATCTTTCAATTTTTAGGGTGTAGGTACAAAAGATTTTTTCTTTGCAGAATATCAGAAAGAAATCGTTATCATTGTCGAAACTCGAGAAGAACCTTGAGGATAGAATACAACAAGATGATGATTGGCTAACTTATAGCTACTTGTACAATCATGGTGTTTTGGTTGTACTGATTTATCTCGGTATAATCAATACAACACGGTTGTATCGAAGGAAACGATCCATTGTTTTTTTTTTTGTATTGGTTTATTTTATCCTGAATTGGCATGACATTATGCCAGAACTTGCAAGTGATGATGTTAATCATAGAAATTATAAACGACAACAACAACAACAACAACAAAGCCTTAATCCCACTACGTGGGGTCGGCTGCATGAATCTTTTTTTCTCCATTGTGTTCTATTTAGTGTCATGTTTTCTTTTAGTTCTAATAAATTAAGATCATTCTTATACAATAAGCCCAAGTCTTCCTAGGTCTACCACTATTTTTTTAACATAAGTTGAATCTAAAACATCTACTCTCCTAATCAGATTATCAGATGGTCGACGCCTAATGTGACCAAACCATCTAAGACGACTCTCTTATTTTGTCTGTCATTGGGACTACACCAACCCTATCACAGATATATTCATTTCACATTTTTGTCTCTAAGTGTAAAGCCAAGCAACCACCTAATCATTCTCATCTCAACAACACTTAACTTAGTATTATGCTTCTCTTTTTAAAGACCAACATACAACGTCATAAATCATTGCAAGTCTCACCACCGTTTTATAAAATTTTCCTTTTAGTCTAAGCAGTACTTTTCTATCACACGAAAGGCCTGAAGCATTCCTCCATGAAGCATTCCTCTTCCTCCACTTCAACCAACCAATTTGAATTCTACTATTAAAATCCTCATCTATATCATCATTGCTTTGAACAACATACCCGAGATATCTAAATCGTTCACTCCTTTTAATAATTTGATCACCTAAAGTTTCACTTCTGTCACTAGAGCTAATACAACTAAAATTATATTCCATGTATTATGTTTTAGTTCTACGCAAATGAAGGCCTTTAGACTCCAATTTGGACCTCCATAATTCAAGTTTTTTTCCTGGACTTTTTCTCTTGTCTTATCCACGAGAAGGATATCATCAGCAAAAAGCATGCACCAAGGTACATCCTCCTGTAAATGTCCAGTGAGACCATCCATAACTAAAGCAAAAAGATATGGGCTTAAAGCCGATCCCTATTGTAATCCAACATAAATATGAAAATATTTTGTCAAGCCTCCGAACGCAAGTAACTTATACATATCTTTAATGACTTGAATAGAAGTCATATCAACACCTTTCTTCTCAAGAACTCTCCAAAGGATATCTCTTGGAACTTTATAATAAGCTTTTTCTAAATCAAGAAAAATCAAATGTAAATTCTCTTTATTATCTCTGAACTTTTCCATTAAACCTTTCAATAAATGTATAGCTTACATAATAGACCTGTCTGGCATAAATTCAAATTGATTATGAGAAATCTTTGTAATACGTCTTAAATTATGTTCAATTACCCTTTCCCATGATTTTAAAGTATGACACATCAACTTAATTCCTTTATATTTTGCACACTCTTGTGTGTCCCCTTTATTCTTAAAAATGAGGTCTAAAATACTTTTCCTCCACTTGTCAGGCATCTTTTTTGTTTTTAAAATAATATTAAAAAGTTTAGTAAGCTGAGAAACTCTAAAATCTCCTAAACATTTCTATACTTTAATTGTGATATCATCAGATTCTACATACTTTCCACCCTTGATTTTTTTAAAGCCTCCTCAACTTCTTTTTTATTAATGTGATGATAAAAAATGAAACGTTTTATTATTATTAACGATATTATGATCACTAAGTTTGATCGTATTTTCAGAAACTTCATTAAAAAGTTTATCAATAAAAATTTCAGAAACTTCATTAAAAAGTTTATCAAAATAACTCACCCACTTATGTTGAATATCTTTTTCTAAAAAAAGCAATTTTTTATTTTCATCTTTAATACACTTTACTTAATTTACTCTTCTTTTCTCTTTGTTTGGCTAGGTTATACATATATTTTTCACCCTCAGTATCTATTCTATTGAAAAGATCATTAAAAGCATAGTTTTTAGCGTCACAGATTGTTTTTTTAGACTTCATTTTCTGCTGGCTATTTGATATTTTTCTCACTTTTCTAAGCTTTTGAATTTAAATCAATTTTTATAACATAACTTCTTATATTTTATCTTTTCTTGCATATTATTATTCAACCACCAACTTTTTATGTAATGAAATTTCTTCTTTTGATTCTCCAAGTACATATTTTGCTACTTATTTAATAGTGTGTTACTTTATCTCACATAGCATTTGTTTCATCGTGAACATCCCAAATTTTAAGATCTTGAATTTTACTCATAAAAATAATTTTATTTGTGTCTTTTAGGTTTTTCCCATCTAATTCTGCGATGATGAGTCCTAGTATTCTTTATTTTACAACTCTTAATCTTAAAATCTATAACGAATAAATGATGTTGGGTACTTAAATCTTCACTTGGAATGACCTTAAAATCTTTACAATCTCGACAATCTCTTCTTCTCATAAGAAAATAATCAATTTTTGTTTTATTAGGTCCATTATTATAAGTAATATGATGCTCATCTATTTTTATGAATAAAGTATTAGTAATAACAAAATCATACACTAAAGCAAAATTTAAAATAACTCTACATTCTTCATTAGTCACTAAAAAGCCATAGCCACCATAAATATATGTTTGAATTATGATGGTATTTTGGTTCTCTTATGGTATTATTGTGGTTCTCTTATGGTGAAATTGAGGTTGTAGTGTGTTAATATTAAAGTTATATTATGGTGTTAATATAACAACATTATGGTGTTTCATGATGGTATAGAGCGGTACTTATAAATAATTTTTACCTTCAGTGTTCTCTGAAGGCTAAGCAAGGATATTTTATGTTTTTCAAATACATTGAATGGTACCAAAATAAAATATATTCATTCAATATTATAAATTCAACAATACATATGATTGTAATGAGTTACTTACAAATGCTACATTGAACAGATAAGCCAAAAAATGTTTTACATTGAACATATGAGTCTGGAAAAAATATTGCATCAAGCTAAATTTTACATTTAATAGATGACCACAAGTGAAAAGCTACACTTCTCGGTTCAATAAAAGATAGATCCTAATCCCCGAATAAATAAAGTCAAATTATTTTCACTGTTTACCTCCTTGGTTTCTTCTTTTCCTCTTTTTTTATTTTTTTCCTCCATTACATCCATTACAGCTAACCTAGAAACCTAAGCATTGTATGTTGAACAAAAAAATTAGTTTAGAAGATTTTACAACCAAAAGTAGTTAGAAACATATTGAAACCTTGTTGGGCGGAATCCTCAGTCCCGGTGTCGAAGTGGTTGTGTTGAAGTGGCGGTGTCGAAATGCCGGTGTCGATGTCAAAATGCTAGTGACGAAGACGTCAGCTTGAAAGTTCAGCGGCGAAGAAGCTAAAAGCACAGCCGCACTAAAACCAGTCTAATTTCAAAAATCCTAAACACTCGGGGTCACTACGAGCAATGAGAGCAAGAGAACCCTAAACCTCAGAAATGCAGATGATAACCCGTAAAAAATAAATATGAATTGACAACGCGTGTTTTTGTTCAAGGTATTTGGGCAGTCTTCGGGTCGGGTTGTGCAGAGAAGCACATTTTTTAAAAATGCGAAAATGGGGCCCGCCACTTTACAGTTGGCCCATTCTTATTGGAGACCGGACGCAAAACTGGCCCGGACTCCGGAAGCAACATTTTCTCCCAATGCAGATGGCTGGCATACGATCTCTTTTTAATATGTGATGAACATTTAAGTGTTTTAATGATATTTGAATTATCTCTACTTATTGGATTCGTCCTATCTTGATGTTAGATCTGACTATACTATTATAAGATTTGGAATGCTTTAACATTCCAATTAACCCACTCATAACTTTTAAAAATAGTTTAGCGGCTTGATCTAATATACAATTGTCTCATAAAAATTAATATAAAGATTTATATTTTACATTTATAAATAACTAAGAATTTAGTGATAAATTGTGTTTAGTAAGAAAATAAGGTACAAAAAAATTAAATTAAGTTTGCTCTTTTTTTGCTCAAACTCGGCGGCTTATAAACTTGTTAAACTTATGAAAGCACCCTTATATATCACATAGTTTTGAAAAATTTATTTGCATACCACACAACTCTCATGTAATTACATATCTCACACCAAAAAATTTATGTTTACGTTTATAACCTTTTAGTGTTCTATAACTTCACTTCTTAAAAATCGAGGAGTGGTATTTTCTTATGTTTAAGGAGTTGAGGGGCACGATCTAAACACCAAATTTTAGATGTTAGGTATGTAAATTTATAAGAATTGTGTGGTATGTATGTAAATGGCTCTATAGTTTTTTCTATACTTACATATAAATCACTTAGATTTTAATATTTATTTATGTAATACTCGAATCTGCCATCTCATATAAAAACATAATATTAATTTAAGAAAAGCATTTTTAATACATATATTTTAACACCATTGTGCTACAAAAATATTGTATAAGAATATTAAATTTTAAATGCTAATTATATAAATTTATAATAGATTAATTAGCACGTGTGCATTCATGGTAATTAAAAAAACAAATTAGAATCAAGGCAATCAGATACTCTAATTATCATGATAATTACAAAAAATAAATTCCTTAAAATTCATTTGACTAATTTTTTTAGATGAGTGATTTTTTTTTATTATTTGATATTTTGTAGAAAATAATTTATTTTTTAAAGGAAAACTTCTGAAAATATTATTTCCAAATTTTCAACTAATTAGAAATGAACGGGCCGCTAACCTGGATAAAAAAGAGGTTAGGTGTGAATCTTGTTGATATAAAGATTTGGGCATGAAATATGTAATATGATTATTTTGAGTTCTATGCACGTAAAAACCTCGAAATATTATATTCAATTCATTATATGCAACCAAAAGAGAATTTAATAAGTTAAATCCAAAACAAAAGCTTGCATGTCATGGAAATGAAAAATTATTATGTTCAAATATTCAGATATACCAAAAATCACCACAACAATTTTATATATATATATTGAAAGATTGATCGCTGATCACCCCAAAGTGACCGAGGGTAGAACTCCTTCCAGACAGGTGTATAAATATATCCTACGTGAGGATCGAACCCCCCGACCCGAGGAGCTTACATTAAAGGCCGCAACCAATGAGCCAGGCAAAAACACATTGTGTTGTTAGTAAGTAATAATATATATATATATATATATATACAAAATAATAAATAATAAAAACTTTTCAATAAAAATATAAACAACACTGATAAAAAAAATAAATAATACCAAACTTTTCAACACAGGAAGTAGACAGACAGCACTACAGATTAAAAAAAAAAAAACTTGATTTGTTTTCCTACTCATAATAAAAAAAATAATCGAATAAAAAAAAATTTACATATTAATCATCCAAAACATTTAATATAACATTTTAACCATTCAAAATCTTCACTCAAAAAACCTTCTTGAGTGGAGGTAAAATAGTGATTTTGATTTATAGAAAAAAAAATTAAAATATAATATTTAATAATTTAGATGATTTATATGCAAAAACCCCTCAAATAAAAGAACCTATAAATCAGACTCACAACAATAGCAACCCGGTTGAATCAGTAGAGACCCAACCCAGCACCACCTGGAGAACTATTACTGCTTCTATAGGATTTACTACGCCGTTCTTCACGTTCAATAAAATTATCAACAAACTGATACACATTTCGACCCGAAATCCCTTTGCCATTTTCATACACAGAAGAAGCCTGTGACTGATAGAACAGTGGAGCTCGAAAATAATTCATGGCCGACGACTCGTAACCCGCCGGCAGGATGGGATATCTTCTTCCCCAATCATAAGAATACTCTCTGCTGTTACTAACTGCTGCTGAAAGCAGTGGATTTTCAGAGTTTGAACCAGGAAATGGAGGCAGCGAAGGAGTTCTACGGGGAGTTCTTGAAGCAGGAGGAGGATGGGATTCTCTGAACCGAGTTTCGGGTTTCTCGTCGGCGATAGAATGCGGAGATTTTCGCTTTAGGATCCTTTTTTCTCTGGATCTCTTTTCATCCTCCTCAATGTACTTTTCTAACTTCGCGATTTCTTTATGAATGTTGACGGAGGAGAGATCATGCGCGTCCAACTTGTGCTCCTCCAGAAACTCAACAACTGATTTCAGGGTTTTTAATTCTCTGGTATTGGCTTCTTTCTGTGAAAGAATAAATGAAGATGTGTTAAAAAACTAGCTTTTTGTTGCATGCATAGCATAAAATTCTAATGAATTTATATATCTCGCACATACCGCTCAAATTTTTAATACCACATTAGAAATAGCACTATTATCATTTTTTTTAAAATGAAATATACATTTTTATGCATAGGTTTAGAGCACCAAAATGCTATGTATTTGAATATTAAATTTTAGGAGTGAGATATTTAGATACAAAGGAAAGATGTGGTGCGTATGTAAATTTCCCAACTTTTTATATGTATCACATAGTTCTTATGGATTTATATATATAGTGCCTAGAGTTTGATATTTACATGTATATCAATTTAGTGTCATAATCACATTAAAGTTCATGCGTAAAAATGTGTATTTTACTTTTAAAAAAGTTCGTGAAAGTAAAATTTTTGATGTGATGTTAATGATTCAAGTTTTAAGAAATAAATATATTTAAGTGTTAAGTCATGTAAATGTATAAGAATTGTGTGGTGTGCATGTAAATCCCCCAATTAGAATTTAGGGCATTTATATACATGCTACATAATTCTTATGGATTTACATATCTAAGACCTAAACATTCATATTTACATGCATACATCACATAAAAAATGTCACCTTTTTTGAAGTAAAACTCACCATTCATTGCATGGACTCGTGACATGAAGATGTTACTAAGTGAATGTAAAAAAGACTGGATGTTCGACATGTAAATAGCTAAGAATTGTGTAGTATGTATGTAAATTTCAATTATAATTTTCAAGCGTAATAACAGATGAAGGAGCAAACTCTGATCTGCACTTAATTCCCTGCTTGCCCGGTTAAGTCAGGGGAAGTATGAAATTAACATTTATGCATAAATTGCTCAAAATTTTTCATTCAAATTTTCATTTTAATAATCAACCGTTTCTACAATGCAATGAGAAATATTATTTAAGATGGTATAAATATCAATATTTTGCGTTACTGCACTTCAAGATGATTGGGTGAACATAATAAGGAATATGAAATTCGTGATATGTTATGTCAACTTATGCAAACTGATAAAAATGCAACGATATTTCATAATTACACACTATAAATTTGATTTGAGCTCGAGCCACCATTGGCTTAGTTTGACCTCTAGTTTAACTCTACAAAGTCGAACCGGCTCACAAGTAGGCTTTTTTATTATGGAAGAAAGAACAATTTTATTTCAAGCTGGTGTTGTAATAAAGTAGCAAATAGATTGATCCATTAAAAGATGAATAATAAGAAAGCGCTCCACATAAACTATTAAACATCAAGCACTTTTAATAATTTAAAGATAAAGACTTCAATTTTAATATATTTTGAGAATATTTCGTATTAATATTTTTTTTTAATCGAGCCGGCTCACGAGCTAACGATACGAGTCAGGGCTACTTTGAGCTTTGACTCGTTAGTTTATCGAGTTCAGCTCCAGAGTCACTTATCGAGCCGAGCCTGGGTCTTGGCTCAATTGTTCCCCTAAATACAATAACAAAATTTGAGAGTATTTTAAATTCGGTGAGTTGGGGATAAAAGAAGATAATGAATCATACCGCTGAGAACGCCGAATCTTGTGATCTTTTTCGCTCAAAGTTTCCAGTATGAATGACTTTTGCCGCGAAGGATGAGAGCAAAGGCAGAGGGGAGAATGTTTCAGTTAGCCCAAAATAACAGGAAAGTTCAGCAACTTCAAAATACATTCTTGCTTTGATTAAATCGTCTAAAACACCTGCAATACATAAAAATCAGCTACATCCACTTGAAAAAAGTTCAATAATATGTGTGTGTGTGTGTGTATAAATATATATATATGGAAGGAAGTTGTTGATGTGGAGATTGTTTCCTCCCAATGTTTCCTTACAAACAGGGGCCATTAAAAAAAAGAGATTGACATGCACACCACTCAATTCTTATTTCTTTACATATCTATAACAATTAGACTGCAATTTTTACATATATGACATCTTATCCATGCATGAGGTGTATTTCACTTTTTAAAGGTTAACATAGGGGTTATTTATGGTGTGATGTGAAAGATTTGGGTGGTATAGAAGTAAAAAAAGAAAAGCTTAGGCAGTAGGTACATAAATACATAAAAATTTGGTGGTATGTATGTAAATGCCCCACAAAAAACATTGAGTTGCAAGAAGTTCAGGCCATCTAGCCTCAATTGTAGAACCCTAAATAGCGATTCATGCCTGCTTATAACTAACTGGAAGCGATAATCCTACTTTACCAAAATCATTTAGAACAACAATTACAGTAGATTTAGACAACTTAGTTTTATTATGGTGGAAAGCTCGAAACATAAGGTAAGGAAGGAAGTAGGGGAAAGAGGGAGGGGAAGAGGAGGACATGTGAAGAGAACAGGCAAGACAATATTTCATTCATTAAAATCTTTTAATACTTTCTCAATCAAGTGCATTCATGCAAAAAATTGAAAAAAAAAGATTATCATGCAAAAAATTGAAAAAAAAGATTATAAGTGTAACTACCAAATTTTGGGTAGTAGATAAGCAAATACATATGAATTGAGTGATAAGTATGTAAATTTACCTATAATATAATGGTCATGGAGGCCGTTGACGATCATTATGAAGGACTGATGGGGTTATCATTGACTACACAATTCGTGAAAATTTTGGAGAATTTGGAGTTGGGCGTTGATACACTTCATAAAATATATTTTTTCAAGTTTAAAAACATTTTTTATGAAAGAAAAAAGGATTTGAAACAAACCCCGACTAATTTAAACAGTCCAATGTTAACTGATCTTAATGATTTCTCTTCAGTTTTATCCATCAATTAGTTTTTTCCATCTTCACTGTCATTTCTAGTTAGCCATCCTACCCCACTTCACCAATAACCTATCGTCACTTAAAAACAGATCCAATCATATGGCCCATTATTTTGTAAAAATGCAATATTGAACTCCCTTCATAGGCCTACTCTCAATCAGCATAAACTTAGATGATATGTAGGAGTTCAACAGATTATTATAATTGTGATTGCAATGTTGTCTACTGGAATATAAAATCTACTTTGCAATAATAGGCATTTGCAATGTTAAATTCTTCATGGCTCTCAATTTACCAAATTGGTGTCATGAACAATCCGGATTTTATATTTCAAACAAAAATATCTATAGGTGGAGAGAGAGAGAGAGAGAGAGAGAGAGAGGATGCCAATGTATACCCGGGATCCTCGCGACTAGGATGTTTGATCTGCGGAAAACATCGATATTCTTCTTCAGATTACTCTTCTTGAAAAGGATGCAGAGATCTTCGGAATCAAAGTTCTTTGGAATGCCAAAGCATGCTAAGTAGAGAACGAGGCCACAGGAATCCTCTGCGGTTGCAGAGTCGATTTTTTCACTAACCAGCCGCTTCCACCAGAGAAGGGCTCCATCCATTGCCTTCTCCTTCACCGAAGAATCTCCGGTGGGGCGGCCTGAGAGGACTAAGAACTCCAACAAAAGAATGCCAGCGCGGCGAATAGAAATAAGTTGCGAGCCGTAATTGTAAGCCCTTCTTCCCTGCGTGTAGAACTTTCCTACGGCAACAAAAACGAGCTCTTCTGGGTTTGGGATGCGGCGAAGCGCCTCAGGTACCTCATCGCGAAGCAGATCAATATCCGATAAATTGGATTCGACGTATCTCCGAAGTGATTTCCCGTCCATATCGTCGCAAATAATCTCGATCCTGCTGCGCTCATCCTTCTCCTTCGCCAGCTCGCTGCGCTCATCCTTCTCCTTCGCCTGCTCGCTGCGCTCATCCTTCTCCTTCGCCTGCTCGCTGCGCTCATCCTTCTCCTTCGCCAGCTCGCTGCGTTCATCCGTCTCCTTCGCCTGCTCGCTGCGCTCATCCTTCTCCTGCTCGGGCGAAAGGGCATCCTGCTGGAAGGATGCGTGTGCATCGATGGCGACATTGATCGACTCAATGGAACCTTTAAGATATTTCCATTCGCGCAGAAATTTAGACAGGGCGCCATGCAGCTTCTCCAGATCGCTCACCGATTGGAGCAAAGAATGAAAATCTGGGGGCGGGGGGAGCGCATCTCCTTCCGATTCTGATTGCTGCTTGGAATTAGCCAATTTCTCTTCCCCCATTACTGGTTCTTGAACAAATTCTTCTTCATCTACTTTGTCTACATTCTGAACATTGACCGCTTCTTCCTTCTGGTTCATCTCCTCCTCCTCCTCCTCCTCTTCCTTCTGGTTCTTCTCCTCCTCCTCCTCCTCCTCCTCCTTCTTGCTCATCTCCTTCTCCTCCTCCTCTTCAAAATATTCCTCATAATCTTCAAACTCTGAGTCATCCTCAACCTCCACTTCATCATATTCCTCGTACTCTTCCTCTTCAACTTCGCAGGAGTTACCCGTTCTCTCTATGAACGCCATCACCGGCTTATCAAAGAGGAAGACAGAACCCTAGGCCGGCCTTCCAAGCTTTCCGATATTTATAATAATTTTCCGGGTTCTAACTGTCGCCGCATAAAATAGAAACATGGCGATTTTTTAGGGTTTTCTTTCGTGGGTTTGACTTAAGATAAATTATGTGGTGGAAGTTAAAAAGGAAAGTTACATACATACCATTTAAGTACTATGTATTTATTCAACTAATATCTGAATTTAAATATCTATTTTTATAACACTTAATTTTTAAATTCACGCCAAAATATCACAAATATTAATTTTCTTAAAAGTAAAATATATCTTTTATGTATTTATTTTGATGTGATTAAAATATTAAGGTTGTGTAAAAGTATTTTTTTAGAGTTTAAATGTTGGGTATGTAAATATATAGCAACTATGTGGAACTTGTATAAATTTCTCATTTATTTACTTTCTTTAGACTATTATTGTGTATTAAGAGTTTGCATTACTTTAATAAAAAAAATAATAATTTCAATATGGCAAGTTTATCCTAATACAATTTATATTGGGATATTTTGAAATAAGTTTTTTCTCTTTTATTATTTTAAATTATTAAAAAATTTGGATATTTTAAAATAGCTATGATTTTCCAAAAAAACAAATAATAACAATTTTAATAATTTATACATATATATATAGATATATATACATATATATATACATATATACATATATATATACATATATACATATATATATACATATACATATATTATATATATATATACTATGATCAAAATCATCAATATTCTTATGATAATATATTGTTTCATATTCATTTTCTTATGATGATATTTCTATGTTCGTTATTTATAAGCATAGAGAAATAAAATTGGAGATATTTTTAACTCTAATTATAATTTAAATAAATATTTATTTCTGGAAGAAATTAAGAAAAATCAAAATTCGATATATCTTATCATTTTTACAATAATTTGTTAACAACAACAAATTATATTTATCCTTGGTTGAGCATGCATGAATATGATAAATTATATTTTTATTAGCTTGTAATATGTATAAGGAAAGTTTCTAAATTTATGTTCTTATGATTGGAGATATTTGGTTTGTGCGAGCATGGCTAATTTCATAAATTTATCTTCCTTGAATGCTAATCAAATTCTGTTCAAATCTTCATTGGATTTAATTTCCGCCTAAATTGAGCGTTGTTCATTATTGGTTCAAATTTTATTTTTATTTCAAAAAAATATTTGAATAATATATAAAGGAGATTTAAATGTGGTACAAATACTGTTGGTATATTGCTTGAATAAAGTTGAAACGCTTTCTGATCAAATTTCAAATAAGGTTTGATTGAAATTCATATAAGGTGCATGAAATGTTTGGTCATTGCTCAAATCTTGCTATTTTTTTTTTGCCCGTTATCTTTTTAAAATTGGCTCTTTGAGTTGTATTATATATGCTAATCTCAATTAAAAGCATATTTATGGAGAGGTATTACACGGCTCAAGTCACTTCGGAGCTTGTGGGGTGTTGAAGATTAAAATTTTATTTTTTTTTAAATAACATTATAACAAAAAAAATATTTGAATATTTCATACTTTATGAGCTAAGTTATATATACATATATATCATGATTAAAGTGTCACACCCGCCAAAATCCCCCCCTTCCCACACAAAGGTCAAAATATACTTAAAAAAATGAACTTTTTGAGGATGGTCGATCGAGCTAAACGATAGGGCTAAGCCGACTAGTCATAAGATGACCAGAGGATGATTAGTTTCTCGAAGATCTTTTAAGGCACCCCGATACGAACCCCACTTACATAGGGGGCAAAAATGTCATAATGTTATCATGACATATTTTCTATAAATATGGAAATCATTTATTGTAAAGGGGACAATTTTTTTACTGGAGATTGACAATGATATGGAGTGCGCATTGGAGTATGTAGCCCAACAAATCTAAGATGTGATGAATTTAATGTTATAAATGATTTGAGGCACGCTGACTAAGGAGAGAGATTAGTTATTTCGATATGGTGCCCAAGTGCTAAATGACAAAGGAGTCCTCGGGCCCATGAAAAGAGAGGAAGAAACCCAATACACTGACAATGATGGGTTGACGTCAACCAATCACAACCAATTTAAGAGTATTGAAGCACCACGTGCCTAGAAAATGCTATGTCTCGGCAAATTTCCGAGTTGAACCCCATAATGATTCAATATTTCGACACTATAATCTTGCAGGGGACGATTAGACTTGGTTGATAATATCACTTATTTTGAGTTGGTTGTATACTTTGTCGAAATCAATGATGTGCTAAAGTGTCAACTCTTTTTCACAACGCTATGAGATTTAACCCTCAGGTAATTCAATGGATTATTATTGAGAGTAATGGTGTTGTTTGCATATTTCAGATGAAAGTTCGTCGCGTAGTTCGTCAACACGCAAAAGCCTAAGAAAAGTTTGCAGGCTCTCTTACAGTTTCACCGAGAGCAAAGTGAGAACCTGAGTGCCTTCATCACCCACTTTTAAAATGAGATGTTGGAAGTTTGGGAGTTAGAACCTACGATTGCCCATACAACCCTCCCTTATGGACTAAAAGAATGACATTATTGTTATGTGTTGTGTTTACAACATTCGAAGATGCTATCCAAGTCATTGGAACTTGCCTGCAATCATATATCGACAGAAGAATATAATCCCACCCCCTCATTTAGAACACAACAAACCAACCGTCACTTACCGAAGATAATCACCCATTGAGAAGGATGAAACCAAGAAACAATGCTCACCATCCGACCCAAACTCGTCTTGAAGACTCACAATCACCCTCAAATAGCCAAACAATTGAAAAAAACTCATTATCAAATAAATCAGGCCTAGTCCCCCGAAAAGGGACTAAACTAATATATGGAGCGACTTTCACCGACCCGTGAGAACCCTAAACTGACTCATTTGAGAGTCATAATTGATGAAATTGTGGAAGTCATTCAATATAAAGACTACTTCAAGAAGGTTATCTTCATGAAAGTCAAAGCTTATCTCTGATATTCAAAGAATAATATGGGTACCACCGCAATCACAGTTACGACAGAAGGAGCGTCGACACCTCCATCACTTGATCAAATATTTGATCATGCCCAAAATTTGAAGGAATTTGTAGCTCTCGAAGCAACCTCCCAAAGACAAGAAAAAGCTCTCGTCGAATAAATTAAATGTGAGTCAGCCTGAGCTCATGCAATCTACACAACAGTCGTAGATCCTGCCATCTTCAAAGAGGATGGAGGAGATTCAACTCACTAAGTCAACCTGAAGAGGCTTTGATCGTCAAAACTATATGCATCCTTTCTACCACCAAGATGCAACTTCCCACTTTTTTTACTTAATAAAAACTTTCCTCCTAAAGGTAACTCATGTAATGATGTTATTGTTTTAACTGTTTTGGTTGTCTATTTCTAGGTCGATAGTACAATTATTGGCACTGGGAGCTTGAGAATTTTGATCTTTAAATTTGTGCATGACAAGAAAAATCTAGGCACCTCGCATCTTCTAGCCATGCATGGGCTACTCCATATGTTCTTTGTCGAGAGGAAAGAAGCCATAAGAATCCTTACTTTGCCAATCCATGGAGAGAAAGTCAAAATCAATTCATCGTCATAGCATATTTCATTGTGGTTGACTCACCACCCACTTATAATGTCATCTTTGATCGCTCTTTATGTAATTCTTTCTAACCCATCCAACTATCAAGTAATAGTGATGCTCCCACGCAACAGAAAGGTAATCCCCCTTTAGGGTAATCTAGCATAATCTCGTGTCTGCTACCTTTGCGCAGTCGATGACATTTGTTAGAAAGCTCTCAAGCTCGACATCCAACGAGAAGGTCTCGAGACCAACGGGACTACCCAAAAGTCCTTGCGATCGAGAACAACACAGGTAAATTTTTCTCATCGAGTGAAGCTTTTGATGCATATTATTGGGATAGACAGATACTTGCTCTCAAAGATCATTAAGACATATTTGTTTGACCAATTGTTGAGATGCATGGAGTACCAATTAGTGTTGTCTGTCATCTAATAAACATCAACAAACTGGCTCATCCCATAAAACAGAAGATGAGGACATCTGAAGTCACACTAGCCAAGCCAATTCGAGAAAAAGCGCAAAATTTGTTGAAGACTCGTTACATTTGGGATGTTCAATGCCAGGAATATAACCAATGTGGTTACGGTCTAAAAATAAATGATAAATGATTAATGTGTTGATTTCACTAACTTGAATGTTTCTTGTCTGAAATATAGTTACCCCTATCAAAGATTGATGTGATCGTGGGTGCAGTGGTTGGTCGCTTAGTCATGAGATTTCCTGTGCTTTATCTGGCTACCATCAAATCAAGATGTACTAAGTCAACTCAAAAGAATAATATGTTTATCATAAATGAGAGAATGTATTGTTATAATATAATGCCCTTTAGACTTTAAAATACTCATGTAACCTATCAACGTGTAATGGATGTAATTGTTGTTAAAAAATAAATAAAAAATATTGAAGTGTATGTTGATGATATATTAGTAAAAAGAAAAGCACCCTGATAACACATAAAATAGACTTTTGAGATCTCAAGAATATTTAACATGCAACTCAATCTACTTAAGTGCTCATTTAGCAAGTCAACATGAAAGTCTTTAGGAAACCTCCCAACCCCCTAATGAATAAAATCCAACCCAAAAATATGAGAGCTAGTTGACATGTCATTTTTTCCAAAACATGAAGGAAATCTAAAGGTTGATGAGCTGAATCAATGGATTATTGTTCGGAGTAATTACATCATT